GCAGGCACCACAACAGGAAAGGCTGTTTTTCCTGGGTCCTGCAACATGCCAGCCTCTCATGGATGGGTTCCAGAACATGCCTCTCCTGCTGGGTCTTAACAGGATGGACACATACAGTTGGGGAGAGACGATCCTTTCAAGTAACATGGCCCCAATCCATGAATGGCTTTAAAGGAAACTCCCAGCACCAGACATTGAATCCAGAAACAGAGTGGCAGCCAAAACACCTGATGGAGCAGAGGTGTTACGTGTACCGAACACAACAGTGTATTTTGCACCAATTGAAGATGGTGAACACTCTTCAAAGTCAGCCCCAGGTAAAGCTCTTTGCAGTACTCAAGTCCACCCAGGGAGGTAAGCTTAGCAAGATGACCTTAAGCACTGCTACCCAGTCTAGGAACGGGATAAATTGCCCCACAACACAGAGCTTTGCAAAGGCTATCCTAGCCAAGCCTGCCACCTGCTCTTCAAGCGTGTTCAGGAGGACCCCCACAAATTTCTTCACAAATAGACAGATTGTCTCTCTCTCTCTCTCTCTCTTTGCTTTCAGCAAAGATCCTTTTTCAATTCAGATTTCATTTCCTAAGGCCAAGTTGTAAAATGCAGCAACTCTCAATTGGATTACAGGTCAAAAGGCCTCTGGAGCAGCTAAGTGCCTCTAAGGCCATCATTCCATCCTGACAGCAAGTTGACAAGAAAGGCTTCTCCTGCACCCAAAAAAAAATGCTTCAGCTGTCAGAAACCCTAACAAAATGACAGCTTTAGGGAAAAGGCATGTTACCGTTTCGCACCCATTGTATACAGTAGAAGGGCTCGCAACCGAAAGTGCCCTGGGGCATTTAGGGTACTCCATCTGAACTCTCAATACAATAGAAGAATAGAGTGAGTGTGAGGCTCACTCTGGAAAGTTTCCAAACATGGGGTTAACCTAAAGGCAAAAGCTGATTCAAATATATCCTGGAATACTGCAGGGGGCCTCTTGTAGGCCCTTCCCCTCCTTCTCCTTCATTGCACCTTGACAGAGCAAGCTTGGCTTATTGCCTCTGCCCACATTATCCATTCCTGGTACGAGTCCGTGGTACCCTCCTGGAAGAAATCTAAAGAATGTGATGACTCTGACAAGTATAAATGGTCCCTTGCCTCCTTCAGCTCTTCTTTCCTCTGCCAGACAAAACTCTCTTATTCTCTAATGAATGTCTCATGCAACACCCACCATTTGACTCATGCTCCAAATCTCCCCCCCACCCTTCACTCCTGGTGTCTTTAATTTAATCTTTTTTTTCCCCAAGAAGAAGATGTGTTAGAAATTCTCCAATTTACCCACCACACATCTCATTATCTTTTTGACTATAAATTGCTTCTCTTTTTGATCCCCAAACCACAGAGACTCTAATCCATCGATCCATTTGTTCCAATGATGTAATTTTCCTTTTCCCTTTGTATCCTGTGTTTTTTTTTTAATGTCCATCTCTTCAACGTATTTCATACATTCCTTCCACTTATTTTGCTGGATTTGTCAAGAAAGGAGGGGGGGGGGAAATCCACATCAGCTATGAGTAATTTATCAGGTGTAGTTGGGGGTTGATCTAAGTTAGAGTGATGAATGCAGCTACTTTTTCTGCATGTACCTGTAGAAGTATTCTTTTAATAAAAAACCAAAAAGGCAGAGGAACTAGATCAGGAATAAGCAAATGAAATCCAGTCTCAAAATCATCCAGAACACTTTATCCATCCAATTTATTTCTCCCCAATAACTTGAAGAATTAAAGTCTTCCTTTGGGGCAAACCAGTGTTATACAATTTTGTATTTATACAACATCTTAGATTGGGCTAAAGTAGGAGTGTCAAACTCGCATGGTCACAGTATCATTATGTGATGTATCGTGACTTTTCTCCCNCAGGCAGCCAGCAGAAGTAGCCTGCAGTACTGACTCTAACCACTGCACCACCATGGCTCATCTGATAGATCTCTTTTTACATTTCTTTTCATTTGCCCCATAACTTTCTTCTTGGTTTCCTCCACATCCTCAGTTGTTTCTGTTATTAAAATACATGGATCTTTCTGGTGCTAATCACCCATTTGCAAAATAATTACATCCCATTGTCACCGTACTGAAGATGGATAAATTGGTGGGCTAAACTTTATTCCTTTAAATTAGAAGCTTTATGGCTCATGCATTTTTTGATTTTCCTGTTTACTATACTTTTTCCAAACATTATTGTAAAGTAAAATGGAAACAACTCTACGAAAACATGATACAATACACGGTTCTTTTTTTATCCTTTTTATCATTTAATGGGACTTAGACCAACAGTGCTGGACCCAGCTAAAATAGCAATAACACAATATCATTCCTTAGTGCTTTACAGCACCCTTGGGGCTGTTTACAATTATCAGCCTATTGCCCCCAACAATCTGAGTTCTCATTTTACTGACCTCAGAAGGATAGAAGGCTCAGTCAACCCTGAGTGGTCAGGATCAAACTCATGGCTGTGGGCAGAATTAGCATGCAATACTGCATTCTAAACACTGCACCAAATCTGTGGAACTTGCTTCTTAAGCAAGTGAAAAAGGATTTTTCCTGCTGTAATTATCCTTTCTCCCATTTCTAGAATTATTGTGATTATATAGATGTTTATCTGTACTTAAATGCTATTCTGAACAATATTATTTCTCTTAGGATCCTGTGAAGAGGATTCCCGACTCACATGAAATTACTCTCCACCATGGCACAAAAACAGTAAGCATCTTGATATCTCCCTTTCTTAGGTTTAGGATAGAATATGTTGTTCCTGAGAAGAAAATAAATTCTGTGAAAAAAGTAGAAGGAATTAAATCCAGATTTGATCATACATAGAGTAGAAATTTATAAGAATCCAGTTGGCTAATTTAAGAGAAAAAAAATATCGTATTTTTCACATTATAAGATGCACCACACCATAAGACGCACATTAGCTTTAGAGGAGGAAAACAAGGGGAAAAAAATCTGTCTCTGCCTCCCAGCATTCATCTGGCTAGCATCCTTGCAGCAAACAGCCTGGTCAGCTTCAGCATGTTATTGTAGCCCCAGCATGTGGCTTGTCATGGCTCCGCTCCATTGCACCCACCACCAGTCAGCTGAGCTGCCGCTGCCGGGGAATGCTGAAGCCTTCGCTGCTGAGCAGCTGATTGGTGGTTGAATCAGCCTCCCAGAATACCACCAATCAGCTGTTCTAGGCCATAGGGATTAGCGCCTATTGCTGCCGATTGCCACTGCCACCTATCACCACCGCCATTCAGCCACAATGGTGACGAGCGGTGATGGTGATCCCTGCCGCCTAGAACAGCTGTTTGGCGGTATTCCAGGAGGCTGATCCAGCTGCCGATCAGTTGCTCGACAGCAAAGGCTCCAGCGTTCCACGGCAGCAGTGAACAGCAGCAGAGGTGACAGGTGGCGGCTGCACCAACCCCCCACCACAATATTCGCTTTATAAGGCACACAGACATTTCCACCCACTTTTTTGGGGGGGAAAGTGTGTCTTATAGTGAGAAAAATACAGTATATGCACATAGTCATGAATGAGTGTGTGTGTGTGTGCATACAGTATGTATACTTGACATTAATTTGGTTCACAGTTCATTTTCACATCTTGCTTTACAGGTCTCTGCTTTAGGATTGGATCCATCGGGTGCCCGTTTGATAACTGGAGGATATGACTATGATGTTAAATTTTGGGATTTTGCTGGAATGGATGGATCTCTTCAGGCTTTTAGATCTCTGCAACCATGTGAATGGTATGTCATGATGCTTTCCCCCAAATGTATTAATAACTTACTAGAATAATATGCAGGCCAACACCTTTGAGATAAGAAGACTTAGAAATAGGTAGCCATATTTGGAAGAATCTGGACAGCATCACCACCAGATGGATTCGTAACTGGCTGACCAACCGCACTCAATTTCAATTTCAATTTTAATGGATTTGTATGCCACCCAATCCCGAAGGACTCCAGGCAGCTTACATAAAAACAGTTTAAAAAATATTAAAAGAATTTAAAATACAAGACAAAACGAATTAAAAAAAGACACAACATGCATTCGATCTTAATGGGGCTGAAGCTCAATCAAAGATCAGCAGCCCCAGGCCTGCCGGAACAGCCAGGTCTTAACATACTTTCGGAAGGCCAAGAGAGTGGGGAGGGTCCAGATCTCAGGGGGTAGATCGTTCCATAGGGCCGGGGCAGCTACAGAGAAGGCTCTCCCCCGANTTTTTTTAAAAAAAAGTTAATTGACTTAAAAAAAATGTCATAGCATTATTTAAAAACATTTTCATTAGGTTTTTCATAAAATCACCATTACTGTGGAACTGGTGGGTGGTTAGAAAATTTTACTACTAACAGAGATACAAAAGTGGGCGGTAGGTATAAAAAGGTTGACTACCCTGGTTAAGGTAATAAAATTAAAAAGTTAATGTATTTATTTATGGAATTTATATCTAGGAATGTATATCAATCTAGGCTATTAAGCTCAGATCCCTATAATTATAGTCCAATCTTAGCAAATTAGCTCTGTTAATTAGCTAGCCCTAATCCCAGTGGGAAAAGCCAGGTTTTAAAGGCTTTCCAGAAAGCTAACAGGGTTAGGTTTATCCAGATCTTGCGATGCTGTTTCTTAATGCAGTCATAGAGGCAGAGAAAGCACATTTCCTAGGTGGTCTAGCTAGATGATACTGTCATAGGACCATCATTGTTGTAACTACGGGTGTTATTCTGGGTGGCCACTCTTCTGATACAGATAATATATCTGTATCTAATATAGATACAGAAGGATCTTGACAAACTTGAACATTGGCCACTATCTAATAAAATGAAATTTAATGGTGTAGAGAGTAAAGTTCTACATTTAGGCAAGAAAAACGAAAAAGCTTGCCTCCAGAAGTTGTGAATGCCCCAACACTGGAAATCTGTAAGAAGATGTTGGATGTCCATTTGTCTGAAACGGTATAGGGTTTCCTGCCTAGGCAGGGGGTTGGACTAGGAGACCTCCAAGGTCCCTTCCAACTCTGCTATTGTATTATTAATGTGCTTCAAATGCACTTCTACTCCAGGAGACAAGATTGATAAAAGTTGAAGCAGGAATCTGTGTAGCTTCCTGAAATCTTTGGCTTATTTTTTTCCCCTTCAAGGCCATACATCATTAATCCTCTATTCTAAATTTTACTCTTCATGAATCAAGGCTGTTAAGTCCAATGTTGTTAAACTAGGCTTTTCTCCATCCTCAATACTTGAAACGGGCTGTTATCAGGCAAAACCATCCCCAAGACAAAGGGTTTGATGACCTTGGAAAGCCTTTCTGTTGGCACAATGCCATATGCTTCCATCAGTTATCCTGTATGGCAAATGTAAAGGGATGCTACTGGTTGAAAATCTCTGTCCCTGTCATTCTATGACTGTGAACATTTCATAGTAGTAGTCAAATTTTTGGAGAAGCATTGTTCTGTAAACATAAAGCAGCTTATTTCTAAGATTTAATTAAAAATGTAAAGCATCCGGTGCTATTTTAGACATTGTTGTGTATACATTGTAAACCATTCTTTCAATTTTGAGTTTGATGATTGGCAATGCCTCATTTAAAGCCTTTCGGTTCACAAAACCTTTGGTAAATTCACTTTTAAATCATATAATACTTTTCTACTTCTTTGAACTATTTAACTAAAAGGAACAGTTCTGTTTATTTTTGACATATTTTTTTTCCTGGGCAAATGAGAATACTCCAAAGAAAGTACTGGGTTTCACGTATCTTGTATGTATTTTTTAAAGGAAACTTTACGACATCCATTTAAGTTCTTAATACATTTTTGGAAATCAAGTCGGTCTGAAATCTGGCACTTAGTTTTGCAGTGGGGCAGGTAAATAGAATCACTTGGTAAAAGTCCCTTTCGGTATCTCATTAAACCAAATGCACCTTTTCAGATGATTGTGGTGTAGTTGCAGAAGGGAACAAACGTGATTGTGAGAAAAAATATGTTTAGTTTAAGGAGTTACAGAAAGGTGTTAAATTTGTGCTTTCATGCACTCCAAAGTATCATTTAATCCTTTGAATCTAAAATGCTCTGCAGTCCTAGCTTGCTGCACATTTATTTGTACTTTGGAGGTCTTTTTTAATTAAAATATACATATAAAACTTCACATGGGAATTAAATGCAAGGTATTTATAGGATATTGGCGACCTTGAAAATCATCTTATGGATGGGAGTTTTAATACGGATATAAACATGTGCCTATTATTTATATAGGTCTTAACACAGAAAACCTACAGTAGG